AAGACTTTCAACCCATAACAGCCTGCAAGAGTTTTCTCTTTGCAAAATAGAGGGGCCCCAGTGATTTTATTTCTGAAGCTACTTAAAATAGTTAATTGTTGGGGTCCATTGCATCATCCAAGAGTTTCCACAATCCTTACATTTCAAATGAGATTATACCTTTTTCCAAATGAACTGCATTCATGGAAAAATCAGTTTAATCGATGCATGGAAACACATCTAGTCGAAAGTCACTTCTCATAATCAATGAAATGAATCATTTTATTAATCTTGATTTTTTGCAGTTCAAATAGTCACATTTAACTTCTTGGACGTAATAGGTAATCACCTCTAATTGAGGATACCAGGGGAAGACCCCTGTCTGACGTGACCAGTAGTATTCCTAATAGGATGGCATTTTGCAAAAATGAACCAACAGTGCCTATTCCACAGTCAAAACATTGTGCAACTTTTTCTACCTACCTTGCAAGAATAAAGTGATCCTGTAAAGAAGGTTTATCTTTTCTTTCAATTAACTATAAATTCAAGACAAAAATTTCCTTTTAAAATGTAATGGTTTGCACGATTTTCAGTGCTTGCATTGCAAAGAATGAAAGTTGCACAATCTCAGCAGCATTGGAATGCTCCTGGTCTGCAATCGAATTATGTGTGCTTACATACCTAAAAGTTGACTTCAGGTTTAACTTAGTAGCACCTACTGGTATTTAATGAGGGAATCAGATCATATTCATCAGATTCATAGAATAAGACAGCAGCCCAAGCAAAGCTCATGAAAAGTTACATTCCTATCTCGTTCGTCAGTTTCAAAAATGAAAAACAGCCTTTACAGGACTTTCTTTGCAGAATTTCAGGAAAAATGGGGAAAATGTTGATGAAACTTACTTGTTAATAACATTGAAATAAAAACTTTTGCAAGAGCTTTCGAGTCAGATCTAATTTAAGAATAAGGCAGGCCACAAAAAAATGTCAGTTTTTAAGGCAAAATAAGTTAAGCTTCCTTCTTGCGGGGTGGTTGGACAATTTTTCATTTAGAATTTCCCTGCCTATCCTCTCATTTTTCCTGAAATTTTGAAATAATTTTCTTTCTTGGTGCACAAATAGAAAGGCTTACAGTATTTTACAAACTTTAGTTTTATGAGGAGGTAAAAAGATTTCTAGGCAGGCAAAAAAAGTTTAGATAAACAGATTTGTCAGGAATAAAACAATTTAATTAAAATTTTATTTGGATCATATCATATCATCCATAAAGAAAAACAAAAGGAAAAATTAGAAACTTTAACTTGGTAAAATAAGAACTAGTAAATAGACAACAGGTTAAATATTCAACAAAATTCTTAAATAACAAAAACCAAACAAAACAAAAAAACAAAAAACAAAAACAAAAAACAAAACTCAAAATAACAAAATTCTTATTGCCTAGGTAGGATTTGACAATCTTCCTATTGGTAGCATTTGGTGTCTTCATTAAAGAAAATGTAACTACTTACTAATCAATTTTATGCCCCAAGAATTTGTGAGCAAGGTAAGTAATGGATGCATTTTGAACATTACAAATTTAATCCTGAACGAAAGAAATAAAGGAAAAAACAAACAAAGAGGAAAATTCAAAACAAGAGAATGTACTTCCACAATACTATCCACAAATATGAGTGGTAGAAAAACAAAATGAACTTAAGTGAGAAAAAATAAAAACAAAAAAAGTGAAGTAGTAAAATAATGCAAACAAAATTTTAGGGAGAGAATAAAATCAGTTAATGCTTCATCCTAGATTTTACTTTTAAAGTTCATTGAGGAGTAGACGTTTGACAAATTCTCAGAATATCTTAAATACTTATTTAAGCTCATATGCTTAGTTCTGACACTGAAAATTTCAGATTGACTTACGTAGCCTTGACCTTCAATCTCCTCATGTCAATAAGAGCAGAGCCACTATTATCAATTAACTTGGTACGCATAAAAATGAGATCATTGGTTACAGCAGTAGGTAAGCACATGAAAAAGACAGTGCATACAATGAGCGTCTTGGAAAACTGAGTTTTCAACTAAGAATTAGTGAGGAACAAATATTCGTACACAAGTACCAAACTAATTGTCTAATTTTAGCAGTCTTGAAGATTAAATACTAGCCTGGAACCAATTGTAGGGTTTCCTACATTTATAGCAAATTATCTTACAGCTAAAAATTGATTTGAGGAGTCAAAAATTTCATATGAAAAATATAGTAGCCTGACTGCGGGTTCTTAGGTTTGAAATAAGTTGTACCTCAGCTTAAATTGAAAATAGAAAAATTAAATTGAAATATAGAAAAAAAAAGTAAATTGAAAAATAGACAAATTACTTGGATAAATGTTAATCCTCTGACTTTCCTTGTTTGGAAATAATGCATCAAGATGAGGTTCAAAGCAAAGTTTTCATTTTTTCAAGAAATTACGAGAATATAATTTTAAAGGAACGTTAAATTGGAATTATGGTGCAAAATGTAATGACAAATAAAAAGCGCCACTTGGTATTTGTGAGCGTGACAAAGGCATGGGGTCAATAAGATTAGATGGTTCCACAAGGACATAAGAGTTAGTTTTTGTAATTTGGTAACTGCAGTAATGCCGATCATAGAATACAGTATCATATTTTGCACACAAAAAATAAGGAGTTGCAGCTGACAATACTATTCTGGAGATCTGACAAAAACAAGGCTGATCATCCACAAGATCATAAAAAAGCATCATGGCTGGTTTGAATAGAATTCCACACAGGGTTATCCATGATGTTTCCAGGCAGGTATGAAGCAATCCTTCGAGAGGAATATTGAACTCATCTTGCAAATGATTTTTAGCAACAGAAATGCAGGGCCCAGTTTCACAACTGTCTTGAAACAAAGTCGAAGAATTTAAAAAATAAGCAAACCGCAACTGATGTTTCTTAGCAACTGTCAAAGGAACATTTTTGCGACATGTCATTGAGGCTGCTGTTCTTTTGGAAGCGTAGTGTTTCCCTTCAAATCTCATAGACCATTGCTTCCTTATTGGGCCAAATTCAAGAAGTAGATGGTGATAATGTGTCATCATGTGTTGTTTGAAGGTTAAATTTGACTTGGTTAAATTTCTGTACAGTTGGAGATGTTCCTCAATTTTCGCTCTAAGTAACTCACTGCAAGATTTTTGAAGGGATGGGGAAAAAATGAGATCAAAACAATCTCTAAAGCTAATAAATAATTCCCACACATGATGGCCTTGAGGAATGAGATTCCCTACAATTAACGGCAAATATCTCACTAACACCATCATTTCGGCAGCAGATAAAGACAGAGAGTCTTCTGTGAACAGTTTGGTCAAGTCAGGTGGTCTGCTCCTGTTATCGACACCGAAATCATAAAATGCTACCTTAAGACAGAAAGTGTCAAAAGTAAAAAACCCGGCATCTATGAAGTAGTTGAGCACAAAAATTATGACCAAGCCTGCGGCTGATTCCAAGATGTCATGCATGCAATCTGCGGAAACTTTTGTTGTGCAGTGGAACTCTTTAAGATCATTCCATACACACGGCTCTTTAATCCCTGTTGAGGATACATCTTCCGCTAATAAGTCTTCAGCGTAATTAAGAGGATCTCGATACAAAGTTGGGTCATCCCGGCACGCTTTTTGAAAGTTGCATTTTTTCATTCGACAGATGCGGCATGGATGATTTGCTATGAAACACTCTACGAGTCCTAACATCTGATTCATGCCTAAATTATCACCACACATGAGTGCAACCACAAAATATAATTGTTTCTTCTCACCATTTGCTTCCACTTCTATTCCAATATCATGCAAATTGTTTAATGATTGAATCAATTTATGAAATGTCCTACCAGGACCGCACAATGTGCGATCTTTCGCTCTAAATAAAAGACAAAGAAAAATAGCATTCAGGCAGCTTTGAATGGTAGGCGGTAAGCATGGTACAGTGGCATAAACAGCTGAGAGCTTATTAATTCCTCGATGTGTTCCTAATGGATTGCACACTTCGTATTCATCATTATAGATTAAAAGCGGAATGAATAGGTCATTTTCTCTTGTCGCTCTGAGTCTCTCAAGGGTACGTTTCCATTCTCTACCTTGGATTACATTAGATAAATTATCATTATCAGCATACAATTCACTCATATATGCTACAGTTTCATTGAGAGTATTTTTGTACTCAAAAAAAAGTTTTAGGACTTGACCTAATGGAATTAATTGAGCTGTAACATCAACCATTTGATTTCTAATTCTCCCTTTAACACGCTTTTTTGCGATTTTGTGACCAATAGGTTCTGAAATAGGTCTGACAAAAATACCTTTTAAAGTGAAAAACTTCATTCGTTTGTATTCAGTGTCTAAATTTGCAAACGGTTTTTCAAGAATTTCAAAGCTTTTATTTATTTCAAAAATATCTTCTGGACTAGGCCCTCCTTCTGTGCTTAAAGCTTTGTTCACTTTGCTCTGTAAAACTGACATGTGAGTAGCCGTTAAGAGAGCAGTTTCATCTAGGATCATTTGAACAGCATTTGCAGGAATTGTGGTATGGGAATGAAGCTTTGAAACGAAAATGGAACTTGAATTTAAAACATGCTCACTGAGATCTAAATTGTTTATAATATCAAGAGACTCATTTCTTTCTAGTTCAAGAGGTTGAGCAAGTAGATTAATCTCAGGAGCATCTCCTAGGTAGTGATTATCTTCTGCATTCGGAACTTCAGGCTCAGGTTCAATGGGATCAATATGGCATTTACTGTAATGGTTTTCTAGGAGCTTGAGTTTAGAAAACCCTTTCCAGCATCCTTGCTCACCACATTTGATAGGTGCAGTCGAGGTTTTGCCATGGTTGGTAACAACATGCAATTTAAAATTCTTAAAAGTGAGGAAATTATTCTGACAATAATAACACTTCGGCATCTTCATAAAAGGAACTAAAATTCCTTAAAAAATGATTCAATTATTTAACTCTGGTGGACAAACAAGGAAAACAAGGATAATCAAAACCATGAGCGATAAAACCCAGATAACAGAAATCACTGTGAGGAAGAAATGAGCCCCAAGGTGGATGCCACAGCCTCTACGGATGGGATTTTAGCATCAAATGGTGTTGTAATTTTGAAAATATGCTGCTGAATTAAGGACCAAACCTGATTACTAATGAGTGAAAACTCTGCGTTCAAAACCATTATCAGTTTAAAACATAAATCTAATGCATCAATGGGTGTTTCAACATTATACACATAGTTATTGAAAACGACAGCACAATGAGGGCATTCGGTGCCAGAGACAACAGGCAAGGGTTGGGCTTGTCTGCCAGATTTTTTCAGCTTCTCGTCACGACGTTTTAGTTCAATTTCGATTTCATTGTCTGAAGGCACAAACAGCATAAAGTCATCAACGATTTCCTTGCGAGAAAATTTTTCCCTTTTTTTCCCCGGTAGAGGGGCGAACAGGCTAGGTAGAGTTCTCAGGGCAAGGAGTGACTTTTCTTCTTCATCTGTCAACAGAGAGAAAGGCAGTTACATAGTGAACATAACAAAGTTACAAGATAGTTATGACCTTCTTTCTAGTTACGGTAAAACCTTGATAAACCGGACCTCATTGATCAAAAAAGAAAAAGGGGTTATCGAAGATGTGGTATCTGCACACTTAATTTCGAAATGGCAGATTTATGCAAATAAAAGCGAGTATATTTGTGAGTGGGTTACCGGCACACTCTTTAGGTAGCTCATCCAGTCAAAAGAGAAAGCATTGTAGGAAAATAAGGTATGAATATATAGCTGGTTACATCTCATACCCTCTTGACTTCACATGGTATTGGCATTTACACATGAGGGAGTGCCGACTCCGGATAGGATACTGTGGCGGCTACGTGTCGCAGAGCAACAAAGAGCATTGTGAAAACAGCTTCTTTGTATGTATTTACTCATGATATTTTTCTACACTGTTCAAATCTGACAGGTACCATGCGCAAAATGGACCTAAATACTACTCTTTGTCGCCTCAATAATTAAAGTCATAACCAAAGTTGGCATCTAAATATTCCTACTCACTTAGCTATAAAAACAACGGCCCGATAAACTGTCTTAATTGATACTAGCATCTGTTAGGAACCCCTTATAAAAGATTCAATTGGGTTAAAGACACTTATGAGAATATGTAATCAGTTAGGAGAAACCTGATTCTAAGGTGCCAAAAGACATCCGGTTCTCATCATTAATAATTTCAGAAACAACCATTTTGGCCTCCAAAAAAAGTCGGCCCCTAAATATTAAGCTGGCCAAATTGGCCAGTAGAACGTCTCAGTAAGATTCAAACACTGTTTTTTTCAAAATATATTTCATTTTTTATTCTCATATCATAAGCCTTGCATTCAATGGAGAGGAAAACAGGGGTATCAATTTGAAGCATCAGCTCTCATTTAATCAGACTTGGCCCATGAGTTTATTTTCAGTCAGCTTTAAGAGACGAGTCGAATGCATGAATATGTTATGTAAGGTAGTAAGGAACAATCAAGTCTTGAGCTCTGTGCCATTCTTAAATCTGGCAGTAAAAATGGAGAAAAAAATGAGAAATTTGGGCCAAGTTTTAAAGAACCACACACAGAAATATGAGTTCTTATCCTGAATTCTATACTTACTCAAGCTGTCACGAAGGGCAAAAAGGGGAAACTCATTGTCGACAAAGGTTTTATACTGCGGCTCAGCAGTCGCCTTAACCGCCACTACTTTCAGAATGTCGTCCTTTAAAGCAGGCCACGTCGTCACCAAAACATTTTCTTTTCCTGGGAAGAGGCAGTTGAAGTCTACTCTGATCTGAGAAGTAGATATAAAAAAAAGAGATTTTAAAAGAAAGTATAAGATAGGTACTATATCTAATAAATAATTACAAACATAGAAAATCAAAATTAGTTTCAGTGACGTGTGAATGATGGTGAAGTAATTTTTTTCTTTCTCTTTGTTTAGAGGACAAGGGAATAAAGAGAGTTCGATGTATCTAATTTTGTCATTATGAAGGTGAAAATTATAATCCTTAATTACTTTCTTAACTTATTATAAGGGTTGCAAGATTAAGCAAATCTTAAAATTTCCTGACTTTTCTCTGACTGCCTGTGACAACTGCCTTACTATTTGGACAACATTTGCAATTTGGAACTATAAAGTCTAGCCCGGTTCAAAAACAATATATGTGCCATTAGTTCCCCTATGCACATAAGTGTTTTTCCAGAAGAGCCAGAATTTATAGTTCCAAATTGCAAAATGCAGTCCATTTGTGCTAAAATTTTCTGACTTCTGAAGCACTCAGTAAAGTTGACATGCCCTCTCAGCATACAATACTGCCGTCCTAAGGAGGAACGCCGTATGAACATTCGAGAGTTGTCAAATTTCCTTTGATAAAATGTTTCTTTTGGAGAAAAGTCGTGAATATTTTACCTTGAAATTTTCAGGAACTTTAGAACAAAATACAAACAAATTTACATGAAAAATATTCATAAGTTTACCCGGGAATTCGTGTTTTATCAAAGAAAATTTGGCAACGCCTGGAGGTTCATATGGCGTTTTTTTTTTTTCCGGCAGAATAGAGGTTCCAGCTTTTGGCTGTACCGGATAGAAAATACCCTTGAACTCCAGAAAAATTTCCTAACTTTACACAGACTGAGACCCTTTTTGTAAACTTCGTTTTTGGCACTTTTATCAGATTTGTGTTAAAAAAAAATAAAAATGAAAGTCAAACTTCAATATCTTACTGAAAATTAATCTTTTAAAATTTCAAAAACAAATCCTTACCCGCTTGCCTGGCAAAAATTAGGCATCAAAAATAAAAACAAATTGAGGTTGTATCTGCAAGATTTTAAGAAAAAGGTACACGAAAGTAAAAGAACTAAAATTTACAGAGGAGCCAATTGAAAAATGTTCATTGCAGTCAGACTACTTTCAAAAAAAAAAAATCTACTGACACAGCTCAAACCATCTCATTGATAACATGGTGTCAAATAAAAGCGGAGAGTTAGCCTGCATTAAGGTAGGTTAATATTTCCAGTTTTGGGACCCTGCCGCTCCTTACAGTGCAATGAGGTGATTGGAAGAGAGTTTCAGTTGTTTATTCTATAAAATCTTGATTTTCTAGGCAAATTAATTCAAACAATTAAAGTACATCCTGTCACTCCAATCATGATACTCAAACCAGTAAAGTCTCCCTAGATTTTGGTTGGAGTATAGCCAAAAGTATTTTCATACGTATGTACCTAATTACTTGACTCTATTTTACCATTTCCATGAATGGGCCCTGAAAGTTAAAAAAATTTGTCAAAAATCTGGCGAAAAGTGCCCCTTCCTAAACTAACAAAATGATGCAATTTACATTCCACACTCAGACCAAAATCTAGGGAGGATACTAAGTGACCTCCCTTTGTCAATGAAGTGGCTGTGACAGGTTATATACAATCATGTTTCTTCTGACAAAATTATATTATTTCAGTATATTAAAAATTTCCTTACCACTGTTGCCCCTATTTCCTTTTTATAAACGGGGTATTTTTCCAGATATTGGTGTATCTGGAGATTAGTATTGTCGTGCAGTGGCTTCAGTCGCAAATGAATGGTGCTCAGCCACTTATCTTCAAAAATATCATAAGGGGAGTAACTATTCTGCACCCATTTATGGTCCTCTTCTAACTTGGTTTGATCAACGCTAGGATCTGTAACACAGATTAACATAGATGAAATAAAATAAAACTGAAATGCAAATTGATCCCATAGCGCTTTCTTTTGGCAGTGTTTTTTTTTTTGGGGGGGGGGGCTTTAAGAAGAGCTGACAAAAGAATAGAATGTATGATAAAAAATATTCCAAATAGTCAAGACACAAAGTGATAACTTCAGCTCAGATAGATTTGGAGTAAATCAGCCAAGCTTACAGGTTTTGATCCTCTCTTTTTTTATGACACAATGTTTCCATAAATTAATATTTTTAAATTCTCATACTTTTTCTGATATCTCCTGACTGTAAGGCAAAATTTAAACCTTCCTCTAACTTTCTACATTTTCAAACCAAGCATTCACCTGGCTTCTTTTGCTCCAAGATCTATTTCTTTCTCTCTCATCAATTGGATTGCACTTTGCAAAAAGAAATTCCAAGCTTCCTACAAGCATTCCAGTGTTGTTAGGATTGTGAAGCTTACATTCTCTGCAAAAAATTACTGAAGTCATGCAAAAATTTATAAGTACAAATTTAATTTTTTTCTTAGTTCATTGGGAGTGAATATTTAATTTGTTAGGCTGATCAGTTTGTATTGGCAAGGAAAACAAAGTTTCAATATCTTAGCAAAATTGAAATGTTCTTGGTTCTTTTTCGCAATAAGCAATCAAATTGACGAGAATGAAAGTCAATGACAATGATTGACTGAGGATAACCGTACTACAGAGCAGATTATTTATCGACGGTGAAACTACCAAACCACGTATCTCGTTTGCGGTGTTTAAAAATCTACACTCGCATTTTATTTTTTTGAAGTAGACCAAATCAATATCATCCCTTGAAATTTTCACAGAATTCTTTCCGCACGAAGAGGAAAAATCACAGAAATTTTCAAGACTGGACGTTAAGTAGTTTTTTATTTAAAAAATAAAGAATGACAGGAAGTCTGCGACGTCGCAAACCGAGATACGTGGTTTGGTAGTTTCACCGTCGTTATGTATTCACTGCCGCTTTAGGTACCCGATTATTTTTTATTTAAATGGTTCAAGTAGTGAATGTTGCCAAAGATATTTTTTATTTATTTTGCATGGTGTGTTGCAACAATTTTATGCCAAAAGCGAGCTGTGCTTGAGTAAAAAAAGTTCTGGTTGTTCTCGCTAGATTTCTGTGATAAATAATTATTTTCCTTAAGATTTCTTAAACTTAAATATTGTTTATTGTTTCTCCTTTTCAATACTTATTTCAAGTAATAACCCCCAAAATTGAGGAAATCTGCTCACCTGGCTCTGAGAGAAGATTAACAACAGGTTCGTTGTTCAACACGGACGGCTTCTCACTTGACTGCTTCTCGAAGAAGCCGGTTCGCTTAAAAAGCTTTATGCGGTATTGATATTTCTGGTAGAGCTGGCCTTTGGGTCCAATATTTTTCTTTGAATCTTTCGAAGAAGGAGGCTTCGGTATATAATAGATATTTTTGCTTTCCCCTGGAAAGGCTGCAGATACTGCTAATGCCAAATACTTGAACTTATTGGGAGTAATTTTGTGATTAACGCAAGAATTTTGGATGTGAGTGATTAGAATGGTTTGTAACATTTCTCGAATTTTTCCAGTTACCACATGTTTCTTGAAAGCATCTTTGACATATTTTCCGTCAAGTGATGCATCTAAAATATCAGAAATGAAATCTTGCAGCTCCTTAACTTCGGCAGGAGAAGCATTTCCCAATTCGTATGTATCGATGCATTTCGCACCGATACCTCTGCAGACTTTGTCGTACAACTCTCGAGGTTTCGCGTTGAGATCTCCTGTTTTATTTGATGGACCTTGGTCGTCCTTTGATGGACCTTGGTCGTCCTTTGATGGACCTTGGTCGTCCTTTGATGGACCTTGGTTGTCCTTTGATGGACCTTGGTCGTCCTTTGATGGACCTTGGTCGTCCTTTGATGGACCTTGGTCGTCCTTTGATGGACCTTTGTCGTCCTTTGATGGATATTCGTCAGAATTAGTTAAAATTTCGTACAAGGCATCAATCTCCTTCTAGTTCAACAAACAAAACAAAATTAGTGAGAAATTGTTGGTCAGTCAACAGCTTAAAAGGAGGGGATGTTGAGAAGATGGAATATGACTTTTTAAGTTTTTCTTCACTGAGAATTCCTTTCTGTTGCAAATTAAGTAGTGAGTTTTTAGCGACATGTATGACTAAAGTAACATGATGAAATTACAAGATGCCATTTACCGGATGACCTCTGGGTTCGGAGACAAGAATGGAGACTAGGTGTCGCAGAGCGCGCAGGCGCGCTGTAAAAACTACTTGTATGTATGGTATGCATAAGTTAAACATGTTTGTATAACTAGCAATAAACCAAATATTATTTTGTAGAAATAGTAGAGCCACAGCATTGCATCTGGTATACATTTTAATATTTACTTACTTACATAGAAAGCGTAAGCGGAGTGAAAAGCTTTCACTTTTTACGTAGATAAATAATAAAATATATACCTAACGCAATGCCTCAGCTTTACTATTCGTACCAAAAAGACGAAGGGAAAAAAATGTATGTAAAAGCTGTGCAATGCTGTTACAACTCCGCGACTCAGTGCATTAGTTTCAGTTGAACACTTTCAAAGCTATACATGCATTCTACCCTGAAAAATAGTGCATACATTTACTCATTTTTCTGTAAAAAATAATTATGATGAGTGGTGCTCTGGTTCGATGCCACTTCCTCTCAATTTTTCAAAGAAGTTATTAATATTTTTCCTTGAAATGTTCAGATATTTCAGATTAAAGTGTGTAGGAAATTGTCAGAAAAAAATTGAAGTAAAATCTTCAAAACTTTTCCAATAAATTAGTATTTTATCAAAGGAAATATGACAACTGCTCATGCGGCATTTTTTCTCAGCACAGCAGTAGTAGCCACCATGGTTTTTTTCACATTTAATTCATTCATTAGTGCAGCATGAATTTGCACTAGTTAGGTTCACAATATCAAAGTTTCATCAGTCTTTTGGCAACAAACATTTTGTCACACCTTAACTTCTTACTTGCATCTCAAACAAATTATTCCATACTTACATCCGCATCTACAACGTGATCCAATTTAGTTACAGGTTTCAAATCGGCTACTTCTACAGGTTTAAAATTTTCCGAAGGTTCCAATTTTTTTGGCAATTCTGAAGGTTTTAAATCTGCAATTGCTTTTAGAAATCTAAGCCTGGGGCCTGTTTTTGGGATGAGTTTTGAGGCTGATGAATCAGTAAAGAGAATCAAATCTTCGAAGGTAATTTCGTCTTCTGAAATGCACAAGAAAGATACTTATATTAGAATTCATCTAAAATCACACATGGTAAAAAGGAGATATTATCCAATGCTGTAGTAGGCATGGAAGTATAAAAAACTAATAAAAACGCAATTTGTGGCAAACAAGCATTAACAAGAGAGCCCTTTTTTTTCTTCTTTTTTTCTCTTTTTTTTACTTTTGTTAAAAATTATCTACTGGGATTCTATCTGGGTAGGAAGGAAAATGAATGTAAGGAGGAACTCATTGTTAGGGTAATTCGCAAAAATTATCACTGTTTCAAAATGGCAACTAGTCAAGTCGTTTCAAAAATTTCAATTTCACGTACGTATTTGGAATTCTGAGCAACCGCCTGCTTTCACTATAACCTTCTTTTTCGAATGAGTTTAAGTATGGGAATTTGTCACTTGGTAGGGGTTGTCAAAGAAATGGAACCCCAAAAATTTGGCCACTAATCCTCAGAAATAAATGTTCATTTTTAGATAATCCATATCAAGTGATTCATTCTGGTAAGAGATTTTAAACAAGATTAGTTTCTTAGTAATTTTGATCCCATAGATGCGATGTAAAAAATTCAGGATCCACTCAAACTTGAGACTGGGTCGACTCTCTGAAATTGATACATTGTGTTTAGTATACTTGCTGGTATCCATAATTCAACGCAAGATTTTGCTTTCCAAAAAATTAACGACTGTAAGTTTCAGAGATGATTCTTGAATGAAAATTACAGACACTGAAAAAATTCTTGACATATTAACCGAGAAAACGGTAACAACTACCTAGAATTCCCGGTTGTACGTCATCCCTGTTATTTCCCGGTAGAGTTACCATTATGTGAATTAGTATTGTAACCAAGATTTTTTTTCAGTGACCTGCCGCCAAAGTGCAAAGAAGGAAAACTGAAAGTTTGTCTGGTTTAAGATTGTACTTACAGTGCTCCACTGTAAAAGAATTGATGAGCTCTTACTAAAAAATTTGGGCAATTGAGAAGAACTGAACATGAAGAGGGTTGCAAAAAATCTGGTCAGTGACTGTTGTTGCTCCAAGGTTGACAAATGACTAAATTGGAACGTTATTAATGGATATTGGTATTGATGATCTCGGGGGCTTACACATGGGTCACTGTCTAGTATCTCAAAAGCCTTTATGTACTGAGTAACACTCATAGTTTCAAATCAATTGGAATTTCTTGTGGAGAAGGAAAATTAGTGGCCTAATACATTGATTTAGTAACTACCGGGTGATCCAGACCACCCTTCCACTATGTCTCTCCGAAGAACCACTGACAATTGAGTTTTGAGGGCCAGGCCTGCCAAAAGGGTTGGGATACTGGGTCTAGGGCCCAGGCCCCGGTACCATGGACCCAGTATCCCCACCATTGTGTCAGGCCTGGCCCTCAAAACTCAATTGTCAGTGGTACTTTGGAGAGAGATAGTGGATGGGTGGTCTGGATCACCCGGTATGTTTGTCTTGTGATGTTCTATACATCTATAATCGATGGTTCCAATGTAACAGAAACATAGCCTTAATTTCAAATTCTATGTTGAGTACCTATAATGGTGAATCATCATTAGGTATTCATTGATGGATCATACCTGAGTTGCTTCTCAACTCATCAAACCAGTGGTTCGGTTGCTGAATTGATATCGAATGATCCTGATCAATAAATCCCTATCTTAGCAATGCTCTTCATTGATCGAGGAGATTCAATAGCAATTCAACCAACAAACCGCTGAGAAATCTTGATTGCTCACAACGTTTGGACACACATTCTACCATCTGTATCATTAATATGACAAGGTTATGCTTTAATACTTCACCTTAGGTTGATCAAATTAAGTAGTGCACATTACCTGGCTGCCCTTTGAATCCACAGGTGCAATGCAAGCAGAGAAGGCAAGCTGTAGCCTGATTGTTGAAATTTATGTCGGCACGACAAGAATCGTGAATCGATTTATTACACGGCGCAGATAGGGCTATGTCTTGTCTTATCGTGCCGACATAGCCAGTTAAAGTTTCAACAATCCGGCTACTGTAGTTTGCCTTACCTGTTTGTATCTTACTTATGGGCTCTTGTCACAAAAAGAAAATCATGGCGAGAACTTTTCTCTTAGTAGGTAAACATGAGTAAGTCACTTCCTCTTGAAGAGGCTTATTCAAACAGTGATAAGGCTCAACTGAAGCAAATGAAAATGTTGAAAGCTAGGATGTCGATAAGCACTCGAAGACAGAAATCTAGGTGTGAACTATACATCCAAGTCTTTATAAATTGTAACATAATATGCTAAGTACTGACCTTTGAAAGCATCGAGGTACCGCTCGAGACCTATTCTTCTCATAAATGCTTCCGTCTCCTTATCCATTTTCACAACAAACTTGAAGGAACGACTGAACGAGAAACAGCACAACAGGTTACCGGCGGGAAATCACGATGAACAATCAAACAAACAGTACCAACACAAATTTCTATGTCACAGTACTTTCCGATGAGACATAAAGTGAAGTGCCCTTATAGATACACTTCTTTATCGACAAAATTTTACACCAGGATATGTTATATTGCAAAATAGTTTACTCGATCCGACGCTACAGTATAAATGATAAAATAGAGTAGAAAGAAAACACTAGTTTCACATACCAATGAGCTTTCAGTTCCCTTTCATTGGGAAGCAGGGTCACACTGCAAGTTTACCGGTCGCGCGGTTTTCAAACGGGGGTCTGTCGTCGGCAATTGAGCCGTTTAGTTAAAAGGGCGTATGAGCGCCAAAAAATATTTTATTCAGAAGGTCATTGTAAGAGGTAAAGCAACTGTTCTGAAGTTTTGGTGCATACATTCTCTTGTGAAATAAAAATGTCAATAATTGGTCACTATTAAGCAAAAGTAATGTGGGTGATTTTAATGCAATGTTTCAGCAAATTCTCTGATAGCATTCCAGCATTTTCTCTTTTCCGGAACAGAGATGCAAAATTTGAAATACAGTCTGAAATTTTAGGAACTTCAGTCATACACTCGGAAGGCAGTACGTGAAAAACATAGAGACATTATAAATGGAATTTTGATATTTTGAAAATAAATATCTGGGTTGCATAAGCAGCCCCTGAAAATTGTACCTATGAAATTTCATGTCAACAGTTTTCATTCTACATCTCTATTCTGAAACGATTAGAAGAACCACTTGGGTATTGGGGGGGAGGGGGGGGGGGGAACCATTGAAGAAAAGTATCCCCCCCCCCCCTCTCCACGAAAATTTGAAAATATAACATGTCAGAGATAAATTGTGATATGGTTCTATCTATCACTGTTTCCAATGTATTTCATGAGGAAAATTCCTTTCTTATTTTCGGCCCTTCAGTTCAAAAATACCGTATTTTGTGGAAATCCAAATTAGCTCTGCTTATTTTAACACACTGTAGATAAGGGCCTTGTTTTGGAGGCAAGAAATTAATGTTGAGCCCATGTTTGACAACTAAGTAAACATCTTCAGTGGGCTTTGAATGTTTTGCTAGAGAAACTAAAGTGCCTCCACAGGCTGAGCTTAAAACCATTTGTAACTAAATTTTGGTGGAAATGTGACTTGGTGAGTTTCCGTTAAACAAAACCCATTTCTCCTAAATACTAAATAACTTCAAGATAGTTCATCCCAGCAACACTGTGATGTCTTACTAAAATTACTGGAAGCTCTAAAGTAGTAATCTTACCTAGCAATGAGAGGGTTCTAATGGCATTGGGGTAAGATGAAGTAACTAAGCCTTTCTATGCCTATTTAAGATAAATTTTGTGGTGGGAAATGACAATACTATGACTAGTTTCGAGCACTCTCCACAGGATCATTACCACTGAGCTTTTGGGAGGATCCTACTGTGAAATCAATTCTCTGTAAAAATGGGAGACTATATTTTTCCAACCTTCATTCTTCTATTTGGATCGCATTAAACAGAAAGGAACCAAGCCGCACATTAGCTATTGCCATATTTTATTGGGCAATTTAATTTTTTACATTTAAACGGTTGTGCAGATTTTCGTGCAAATTTCAGTGGATTTTCTCCATAGTTACGTATCAAATGCCCTAAAATTTTCAAAAGAATCCGCACAAACGTTCTTAAAAAATTAAACTGTCCAATTAACTTTGGCAATAGCTGAGGTGGCTTGGTTCCTTTCTGTTAAACGCGGTCTATTTTGTCTACACATTTTTAAAAAACTGGAAAGAGAAATCTGTGTGAGATAAGTTACAATAGTTTTGCATAATGAAACCTCTGGTTGGAAAAGGTCTAAGTACTGAGAATGATAGTGTAGATGAAAAACCAAATCCATAGATGGGAACAAGACTGCCAACATCCTTCCTTAAATTCAAACACAATCCTGTTTGTTCTACCAGAAAAATAGCATCTAATGATACTTAAGAAATAGGTACATACAGCAAAAAAATGCAACGTATATGTGAAATGAGCAGCATTGCCAGACTTTGACAAATAATTTGACAGCTACTTCACAGCCCATCAGAATCGTAGGTGATGCAACTAAGGACAGTCCATGTCCAAGTGCGTAAACACATTTCCTTTGGGTAGCTATAAGGTGTCTATGAGTTAACTCTGAGCAGTGCTATAAGTAATGCTATTCCTAAAACGAGTAAATAAATAGCGTACGATATGCATGATCTACAAGTTCAGAAAGAATACCTACCTACTATCAAAATCTGAGAGAGAAGAAAAGTTCATGGCGAATGATAACTGGACAATACTTTCAGAAGAAGAAGATTTCTTGAAAGAATGAGAGGTAAAAAAACTCACCGGTTCCAAATGAACGACAGAAGAAAGAAATGCACAAGCAAGCAGACAGAATTATCCTTCAGAAGCACACACTTGACACATGAAATAGTAGCGAATGTTCACACTGAATAAACTGAACAGAAAAATTGATCTTTGCAATTCTGTGACCGACAGAACAACTAGATAGTGATGTTTTCCTGACCACCGGTTTTCTTTAGGAAGGATAAATTCATAATTAACTTTGAATCTTGAATGACGGATAATTCCCCACACACAAAACTGATCCCTCAAAGGAAGCATATCTCGTCCGAACACTTGAGGTATTCTATTGAAATTACGGAAGAATACGAAGTATAGAAGTATGCAGTTTAATTTTACAGA